CTCTCCGGTGACGGAAATCAAGACGAAGACGCCGACAGTAACCATGCTGTCCCATGTCTGGTTTGCGAAAGATATCAAAACAGCCCTCCTTGCAGCAGACATCATCACCAACGAATGGGGTTTCAAGGACTACAAGCTCGATATTTACGGCGCTCTCAACAAATCGCCCGTCTACTCCTCCGAATGTCAAGAAATCTTGGCTTGCAAAGGTCTTGGACAAAACGTAGCGATGCGCGGCACTGCAGACCCAGCAATGGTCCTTGCGAACACTTGGCTTTTCCTCAACTCCTCCGTTTCGGAAGGACTACCGCTTGCGCTTGGAGAAGCGGCACTTACCGGAGCGCCAGTCGTCTGTACTGACGTCGGTGCGTCGCTGCGCGTGCTGACTGACCCTGATGACGGTAAACGATATAGCGAAGTTGTGGCACCCAATGATGCATACGGGCTCGCACGCGCGCAGATCAACTTGCTCGCTATGCTGGATGAGTGGGCTCAATATGCCGACGATGGCCCTGGGGTAGCGGCACCCATCTTACCTCACAAACCCACACCAAAAGACGTCGAGATCATCACGCGCCGGATGTACGAAAAGTCTGATCATCGGCGAAAGCTGGGGATGATGGCTCGCAACATTGTCCAGAAGTCGTTCGGTGGTGAACGCTACCTTCGCGAGCATGAGCAGATGCTCTGGATAGGTAAAGCCTGCTACGAGATGTTGGATCTCGAGAAGCGAACACCACCTCCACGAAACCCAGCACGAATGTTGTCGCTTCGTCGTAGCTTGCCACGACTGCATCAGCGAGATACTGCATCAAGTCACGTGTTCGATGCGCAGATGGAGAAGATGATGCACCCGCGTCCGTACGCGCCGAGACGAACATCGGCAACAACATCGTTCTCATCGGTATACATTGACGAACCATCGGGTTCCTCGTCGACATACTCTGACCCCATCTGGGAACATGAGGAGTGGGACTTACATAACGAGTCGCCCGGATCGTCAGTCAAGTACGAAAACTCTGACACTGAAGACTGGCCACTACCCGCGGTAACGCGCCCAACAAGAGCTCATTCAGGTATCAGTACATCGGGGGTGTCATATGCTGCTAAAGGAAAGCGCCCTGCCCGGTACTCGTACTACGGACATGAAAGCAATCGAGTCTTCAAACCTGCATCACCGAACGCGAAGATGGATCCGAAGAGAGCGGTGCTCATGCGTCAGAGTCTGGCAACGACGGAGAGTGCGCGGAGTAGTATGAGGGCGAGGAGTCATTTGAATGAGGTGGAGCTTGCTGAGTATGGGAATGTTGATGGGAGGCTGTGATCATTGGGAGATGGGAGTGTTTTTACTGCGTCTGCATTCGTATCTACGTTCGTTGGTCGTATATCGAAGTTCATATATAGTGAATGGCGTCGAAGGATTTGTCATCGTTCATTAAGTACGAGAGCAAAGTGCTAGGCTGGCAAGTTGCTCAAGCTTTCTATCATCGAGCTCTTTCACTTGAACCAGCTATGTCTTCCGGCTAGGCACTGGGTCCGTGCTAGCGGTGACGTACGCAGTAAAGCATCGAGCAAACATTTCGTTCATAATCTGCCTGCTTGGCAAGTGCTATCTCCTCAGGTCGATACTTGACCGCCTGACCGTACCCACAACAAAACAACGCAGTTTCTTCAGCACTGGCTCTTGGATGTACATTGTCTACGGCCAAGTCAATCTCTTTCCCTCTTCCCACACCTCACCCAAGCCGCTGGAGATCCCCAGCCATGGCCCTTTCTGCGCTACCGCCGGAGATCCTTAGCAGGATATGTCGCTTCATCATCTTGGAAGATGATATGTTCGACTGTACTCTGCCTCAAGATCTCGAGTCGCTCCGAATTTCTTGCAGGTCTGTCTACCAGAAAACGCTATTCGATGTTGGGGTTCTCTACGGAGAAATGTTAGACCACCTAGTGGTCAGACTTACCTACAAATCCCTCGGCGTCCTATATTCGATGAGCCGCGCTCCTTATTTCCGAGACCGACTTCGCGAAATCAGATTCGATACGTCATGCGACAGAGTGTATTGCGACGGAAGCTCTTTCTGTGATTGTGGTGAATACGCGGACAGCTCATCTTGGGAAGAGCAGACTGCCTTTGCGAACTCTCCCGAAGCGGTTTACATGATGACAGAAAGCTTCAAGAATCTGGCAAATTCGACCTCATTGCTGACAATCTACCTCTGCGAAGCGACAACTTATCCCACCGTCCTTGCCGCACTCAACCTCGCCTCTTTCCCCCGCCAAATAATCCACGTATTGGTGAATCCAAAGGACTACCAACTATCATCGCACAGTCGCTTTGTGAACCCATTAATCGAGTCTCCGCATCTCATCTCGCATCTCGAGTTCCAAGCCACTTTACACAAAAATCCCGGGGACATAGAGCCAGACATGAGAAGAGTTGACGTCGCACACAACGAATTCGGCCGCCACTACTCTGGCTACAAGTCCGTCACCCCACAAGTAGCAAAGCTAGCCGCCAAACTCTCGAGCGTGAAGGAAGTCAGCTTTCGCGGATGCGACACCGTTCCACGTCTACGATTGTGTCACGGATGCGAAGATGTTTGGGCCGGTATCTTCGCCAAGAACACTTATTCAAATCTTACTCACTTCGAGCTTTGTGGCGGCTACGTGAGTGGGAGTCGTCTTCGAGGCTTTCTCAAAAGACATTATGGAACGCTACAACACGTCATGTTCGACTTCGTATCTCTGACCGACGGTAACTGGTGCTCGATCGCGAAAGGCCTGCAGAAATGTCCGAACCTCAACTATCTGGACGTGGGCCCGGATACGACGACGGGTCGCTACATTGGCTCTCTTCGTCAGAGACACGCTTCATCACCTCTCGCGATCAGCCTACCAAAGAAATACGTCACTCCTGGCCTTGAGGCCTCAAAGCTCCAAAGCGATGACTCGCACATTGATGTTATACTGCGTAACACGAAGGATGTCGCACACTGGCTGGACGTATTTGTAAGATACTTTGCCACGGATAAGAGCATTGCCGGCGACTGTTATGAGGCGTTCAATGGCTATAAACTTCCGGTCTATCACGAGGCCCGTACGTTCCTTCTACCTTACAACAGTGTGAGTATACTCGATACTCGGTCACGGGCGAAGATAGCTTTGGAAAAGTATCTCGAGGCGGACGAAGAAGCTTGAGCAGTATGCAAGTACGCGTTGATGAGGGGGACTATGAAGAATGAGGTGGACTATGCTGGGTAATACCAACACAGGATGAGCCTGTTCGTACGCTACACTATCACGATGGAATTCCAAAGCAGAACAGGGCGATGAGACGCGACCGAGATTGTATGTAGTAACCTTGGCGCAAGGCATTCTCAGAATACCTTGTGTTCGATGTATCCAGCTATATGAATCGATAAAACTCGTCCTAGCAACGTTTGCCCGTGACCAGCGCCTTACTCCCCTTCAACTTCCACAATGTACTTTTCCAGCGCCTGAAAAGCAGGATCACGATCAATAGTCTCCGGGCCGTAAGCCAGCGAGAAGATCGGGAGATCAACCTTGTGATAATGCGGCAAGGGCCACGGCAAGTATCTAGTACCCGTATATCTTGAGGTGCAGAAATTCTCGATAAAGAATGCCAGATAGTGGCGAACCTTGTCTACACCCGCATCGTCATCTTCGGAGTTTTCGCGTTGATACACAGGTATCTGTTGGCCTTGCAGTCTTGGGACGGCACCTTTCTGCAAAAGATTATGCTCGAGAGCAAGCTCACGCAGAAAAGGTAGCTTCTGCAGCCCCTGTGCGATTGTCTTCCATGACCCATCAGTCAAGACGTTGTTTGAGAATTTCAATTGAATGAGTGTGTGACCTTGCTCTCGGAGCCATCTTCGAAGGCGACCACCACTAACGTACATGCAGAACAGATGGAAGACCGTTAGATGACTGAAGGCGACCTGGAAGATGTGGGTAAAGGTGTCGTCGCACGCATTACAAAAGCGCAAGTAAGGCTCGCATATGCAGCCTGAGATATGCAGGTGCTCGATATCGCGCAGACCGAACCAAAAGGACGCGACAGCTGGCTGGCGAAGGCGGTAGTTCTTGATGTGAATGCCTACTTCGTTCTTGTATTCGCCCAGCTCCTGGATGAGTTCCTCGTCGTAATCTAGTACCCCTGGAACACCCCCGTCTGTTGAGATACACCTGATATAGGGCACGTAAATCGCAGGCGATCGTCCAAAATCTCCATGACCCGGCGGGGATATAAGGTCATGCGGGGAGGCGTACACGATATCAAGCTTGACCGGGAACTGGGCTTCCACTAGAGCCGCCAAAGAAACATGGATTGATGCAGACCTGGAATGTTGCACTTGTACAAGCCGTTTCGCCTTGGCCAACCACCGAAAGCACTCTGTTAGAAGAAGAACGGCTTCACTTGATTGGATGAACATTTCTCTCTCTTCGTCGCCTGGGTGGAGTGGTGATGATGGCTTTAGGATGTGGTCGAAATCATGGCTTGCGTATGGATCCAATTCCAGTGCCACGATTCGATCACGGAACTCCTCGATTTTAACAATTTGCAAGACCCGACAGAGGGATGGATAGGTGAACTTGATTTTTAGCACGCGAAGCATAGGTCCGTAGCGGATAATCGCATCGTAGATCGTCCGCTTGTACAGTTCCCTGCACGTGAGGCGTAGAGAGTGGAAGTCCTTGTTTTCGTACTTTCGCGTCTGGTGATTGAGACCGGTAAAACGACACACTCTGCTGAGCAATTCTTTTGGGAGGTCTAATAAGGACATAGCGCGATGGAATCTGCTGAAGCTGAAGCTGAAGGCGAGGAGAACGACTTGCTGTGAGGAGACGAATGCGAAGCTGACTGTATACCACTTCGATGTTTGTGCTAGCATGCACGGGATCGCGACAGCCGCAGCAGGTAGTACACGCGCGACATCCACGCGGTCTGCTACCTACAAACCCACCCCTTCACCCCCTCAAAGTTTCGCGCAATACGTCTGCACCGGCACAATCCCCCCACTCCGATCCGGCGGATCCCTCATCGCAACCTCTCTCGTCCTCGCCAAACTCTCCAACTCATCCAATCGATTCAGCGTCGCCTTCAAATGCTCCTCGAAGCCAGGTTGTTGTACAACCTCCCTAAACGCATTCTGCATCGGTACAGAATCCGCTCTTACCATACCATGCGCATCGATATGAATAACGTTGATGTGATCAAACGGGTGCACAAAGTCGGCGCGCGTGATGATCTGACGGGCCTCGTGTAGCGGAATCTGGGGAAGTGTGAATTGGTCTGGATCAGATGTTTCTTGCTCGCGGAGGACCAGCGCGCGTGCTAGGACGATGGCGGCGGCGCAGTACTTTTGCTGTTCTTCCACGTCGTCGTCCATGGAGTCGCCGAGGATCCAGCAGTTGTTTAGGAACCACATTTTCTCTCTTCGGTTGATCTGCTTGCATGTTTCTAGCATGTCGTGGGATTTGGCGACTTGGTTTAAGAAGATTAGTCGGCCGCCGACTTTGGCGAAGACTTCGTCGAGGATGCTTTGGGGTACGTCTTCATTGTGGTAGCGAGCGCGGTATTGCTTGAGTGCGGTGGTTACCACGTTCTTCCGGACGTCTCTGACGCTGATGACGTGCATGTTGGTCGCGTGTGGTGTCAGGCGTTCCAGAGTCCAGAATTCGTCGGAGGTAAAGACGGTCGTGACGAGCTCGTTGCCAGCCCAAATCTCGGCGCGCTGCTGCAAGATCTCCAGTAGATGCTTTCCCGCTTCGTCGTCTTTGAACAGATGGATGTTGTTGATGATCATGAGAAGAGGCTTGCCGCGACGCTTTCGCAGCGACAAGGCTACCTTCTCCATCTGGTTGAGCGCTCTCTCAATGTCCAGTAGCGGCGAGCTATCCCTCGGGCCCCGAATGCTGAACAGTCCTCCGATGTAGTCTTCGTGGAATTCGTAGTCGATGGCCTTGCCGAGTCGCGTTCGAAAGACTTCTAGATCGTTATGCGCTTCCAGCATAGCAATGCCATCGCCGTTGACCTTTCGCATAGCCTCCAGAAGTAGTGCTCGCTTGCCAGTGCCTCGCTCGCCGATGACCAAATAGTATCTCCCTCTGGCCCTTCCGCTGACGACGTTGTCGATATCCTCCTGCTCCGCTCGCGGAACCCAGTATTCTCTTTCTACAATCTCTTGTATCTTGTCTGGCTCGGTGCCGTATGAGATGCGACCCAGCGCAACGCGCTCTTGCGAGCTGTATCCGGTCGCGAAGGCATTCTCGATCTTCTTCGCAACCGTTCTCTTGTAGAACAAACTGTAGGCATAGCCGCCAAGGCCCAGACCAAAGAGCGATATCAGAGCTACCGTGCTACCTTCGAGCACGCTTCGGGCGAACTTGCTTCTCTCTTGCTTGTCTCCATCGTTCGGGCCGGTGTTTTGTGGTTTTGCTGATTGATTATTGTTCGGGGACTGCAGGAAGGAGGGCGTAGGTTGGAAGCGGGCGGGGTGTCTGCCGAGGGGTAGGACGAGCCATCCTGCCATTGTCAGTCATGCAGCAAATGTGGTCATGTGAGATAGCTTACCTCTTCTAGCACGTTGAATAGAGCGTCTCATTCGTCCTGTAGCAAGGAAAGCTGGTGGGCGTGTTGTTAACCTGGTGTGTGTTCCCTAGGTACGCGTCATGTAGGTGGATGCACGAGCACGTCCTGGCCAAGCGCCTGACGCCTTGCCGTATAGCCGAACATCTTCATGGAAGGTGAGGACGAGGTATGAAGCCATGTATCTGCATCAAAATCGGGTGCCATTGACAGTGTATGGCGAGCTCCCTGGAAGGGAGTGTGCTGGAAGATGGAACGGCCTTCGGGAACGCGTCTTTCCAAGATCCAGGGTTCGCGCTAAGAACACGCTCGCAGCCTTGGAACATCGACAAGCCTGGGAGTTAAATGCTTCACACTATCATCAGGAAACACCAAGACACCTTACCCCAATATTTTCTAAACATGGTGACCTCCTTATGCTTCTAATGTCATGAAACAAGGCGTTTTTACTCATTGATCATGTAGAGTTGCAACTACGTGCAATTATACCTAGGTACCATTGCTACCTAGATACCTAGGTACTATGCTACGAGACCAAGCAAGCATCTCCTCTGGGTATGCTTGGGATGATGCTTGTTGAGGATCCGAGAGTATGGAAACTGAACAGACATTACATCTGCTACAAGTGCAGAACGACTGCGATATCCAAGATTCCTGCCGACCATGAAGTCCTGGCACACTCGGCGAGACAGCAAAGACCCATCTTCCATCACGCCCACCACCACTTCCACCAAACCAGCGAACCCATCTCATCAGCCTACATAATACAAGCATCCTCACCATCACTACTCGGCCCTGCTATCTATCAAACCCATCAATCCTCGCGACGCTAACCCAACTTCGCCTAACCCCATCACCAGATCGACAGGGTCCACACGTGCAAACGCAATCCATGAGGCGACTCGGAAGGCCCAGACGTCCGTTTCCCACAGCATCGGGCACCCGTCTCATGACCATCACGGTATTAGGCAGCTAAACAGCTAAATCTTGCGACACGATATGTAGCTTCTTCTTCGCCATGGGGGGTGATTCGCCTTTTTGCTTCTTTCTACTTACACACCTTGTCACGATATGACGAGTTCGACGAGCGAGGCGAGCGAGGCCAGCTCTCCTTCAGCCTCACCAGTCTACCCCGCCCGATCAACACCATCGCCCACGCGACGATCACCCCGCCACCTCCTCACCAAGCTGTACACTTCACACGTACTTTCGACGTGGAATGCGCGCACCTTTGAATTCGGCGCTGTCATCTTCCTTGCGAAAATCTTCCCGGGAACGCTGTTCTTCGCATCGTGCTATGCGCTTTTCCGGTCACTCGCTGCTGCCATCCTCGGATCATGGGTCGGAGGGCTGGTCGACCAGAAAGATAGATTGTGGGTTGTGCGCCAGAGTATTGTGTGGCAAAGAGTTAGTGTCGCGGGGAGTTGTGCGATTTTGGTAGCGATGCTGGGTTTGGGTGGAGAAGAGAAGGATATTGGGATGGTAACCTACGGATTATTCCTCATCAGCGTGGTGCTGGCATGCATCGAGAAACTCGCTTTCGTCGCCAACACCGTATCCGTGGAGCGCGACTGGATCGTCGTCGTATCCGAGAGTCTTGCTGTCGACCGACAAGAGCTGAACAGCGCGATGCGCAGGATAGATCTCATCTGCAAGCTCATTGCGCCCGTCGGCATCGGACTCGTAGACGGATACTCCACGAAAACTGCCATTTGGACCGTCTTCGCACAAAACGCGATAAGCGTGTTAGTGGAATACTTCGCCATCGCGAATGTCTATGCCGCGGTACCGGAATTAAGTGTTGGAAAGGGCGTCGTGACGAAACAAGCGTCTGAAACGGACATTGCTACGGAACTGCAACAGCGAGCCTCATCGCCTAACCAGGATACCGTACCAAATACCACTACGCGACGCTCCACCATCACCAAAACCATAACCACACACTTCGCGCCGTACCGCGAATACATCGCCAACCCCGCCTTCCTGGCCTCCTTCTCCCTCTCCCTCCTCTACCTCACCGTCCTCTCCTTCGCCTCGCAAATGACGACCTACCTCCTCACCCTCGGCTTCACCAGCACGCACGTCTCCGTCATGCGGCTCGTATCCGTTATCCTCGAACTATCCGCCACCATCGCAGCGCCGTGGCTCATGAACAAAATCGGCGCCGTACGAGCAGGTCTCTGGTTCATCAACGAACAACTCCTCGCCATCGCCCTGGCAATCGGCCTATTCCACATTTTCCCCACAACCACAGCGCCCATGCTAGCCGGCGGCGCCCTCGTAATCGGCGTATGCCTCTCCCGCCTCGGTCTCTGGGGCTTCGATCTCAGCGTACAATATCTTGTTCAAGAAGACGCGCCTCCTGCCTCCCGTGGCTCTTTCTCCGCTATCGAAATGTCGTTGCAGAACCTGTTCGAACTGCTTTCCTTTGCGACGACGATGATCTGGTATAAGCCGCAGGACTTCTTTATACCGATTTATATCTCAGTGGGCGCGATTGCGTCGAGTGCGGCGTGTTTTGCGGGCTTTGTAAGGCAGAAGAGGGGGCATTTGTTGCATGCGGATCGGTGCTTGAAGAGGATGGGGAAGGGGAAGAGGATGTATCAGGTTTTGCCTACGATTGAGGAGGAGGATATGGAGATGGAGAGTAGGTGAGATGAGTGAGGGAAGAATTACATTCACGGCAAGACCGAAATCAATGAGAAAGATGAAGTACCGTTGCAAAGCAACGCTTGAACAGTCTGTGAATCCATCCACGCAACGTGGGATTAGTGTTCTTCTGGAGAATCCAGAGCTGCGTCGTGACGCAGGTTCAATATCGATTGACGGAAAATTAATAATCTAACCTTGCAAATATAGGTCGCGCCAAAACGGGCAGTTACAACATGTGCCGCGCTCTATCGTTACGCCTAGCCTTGGAATCCTCTGTCGGCATCTCAAGCACCCACGTGAAGGCCTTGGCTACTCTATTATGCTTGCACGTATTTTCTCTAATATAGCGGCACTTATGTGCTCTTACTTACCGAGCAGTGCTATAGCGGGAATAGCTACCTAGATAGTTACCGCGCGCCAATCGCCTACCTTAGGCAGGTAATTGTCCGGCATCGAATCCTTTACGACTTCCAAGATTGTATCACACTCTAAGTCTTGCCCCACCAACACATACCACCACTACCAGGATCGTAAAGTGCGACTACTCTAACTGAAATCATGTACACATCAAGACGTCACAGGCCGGGAGGAGCTAGAATGATATATGAGGCTGCTCCAGGCATTCCGTCGCTCATACACCTACCTGTTCTGGAGACCAGATAACCTAAGAGGCTCTTTACACAGTGAGCCTACAAAGCTCTACTATACTATAACCCGATATCTAGCAAACTCAACAAACCGCCTTCATAATGCATCTCCACTTCCCCCTCACCTCCGCCCTAGCCCTAGCAACAACCGCCATCGCCCTATCCCCCCACCTATCCACCCGCCAACAACCCTTCAAAACAACACCCATAACCGACTTCTCCGAACCCTGGGCCTTCGCCTTCCTCCCCGACACCCGCATCCTCGTCACAGAACGAAAAGGCAACCTCCTCCTCGTCGACCCGGCCACAAAGTCCAAAGCGAGCATCACCGGCGTCCCCGCCGTCGCGTATGCCGGTCAAGGTGGACTGCACGATGTTGCCTTACATCCACAGTATGCGAATAACAGCATCGTGTATATCAGCTACGCGGAAAACGGTTCCGGCGGCGCAGGCTGCGCGGTCGCGCGCACCAAGCTGAGTCTGAGTGGTAGCAGCGGCGCACTCTCTGGTCTCGAAGTCATCTGGCGGCACTCCCAGCGCGCCACAGGCGGCCTTCAGTTTGCCTGCCGCCTGAAATTCGGTCCTGAAGACGGCGCGCTATACATATCCTCCGGCGAAATAAACCAAATGCACCCCGCCCAATCCATGACCTCCAACCTAGGAAAGATAATCCGTCTCTATGACAACGGGACTACCTACGCCGGAAACCCATTCGCTTCCCAGGGTAGTATTCAATCCCAGATCTACACGCTCGGCCACCGAAACCCGCTAGGTATCGATTTCGATCTCCAGGGTCGGCTTTGGGAGGTTGAGATGGGTCCGTTTGGCGGCGACGAACTCAATCTCATTCAACCGGGCAAGAACTATGGGTGGCCGGTTGTATGTGAGGGACGGCATTACAATGGCACGTTGATACCGAAACATAGTACGAGGCCGGAGTTTGCGGCGCCGAAGGCGAATTGGGTTCCTGTTATCTCGCCTGCTGGTCTGATAATTTACAAGGGAGATCTTTTTAAGGGGTGGAAGGGCAATGCGATTATTACGGGGTTGAGTGCGCAGGGGCTTGTGAGGGTTAGTATCACTGGCGATACGGCGGCGGAGGCACAGCGCATCAGCATGGGTAAACGCATGAGAGGTATTCGGGAGGACAAGGAGGGCGCGATTTGGGTGATTGAGGATGGGGCTGGGGGGAGGTTGTTGAAGCTTACGCCGAATTGAAGTGTGTTGGGGAGGATTGGAAGGGGTCTGGAATGGTTGGGCGCAGGGGGGGCTTTGAAAAAAGTCAAAATGAATCACGTTCATGGAGGGCATGTATCGAGCTTGAAGTCATCAGAATTCCTGTTTTTGAGTCGACGCTACCCATGAGATACCAGGACTACCCCCGAGCTTCACCAGTGACGTGAGCAGCCATCACCGTTCTTCCATCTCCCTTTCCATCCATAGATCGTAGATCCGAAGACCTACGCCATGAACTCACTAATCCGACACATCATCCCCTCCCCATGCACGACTCCATCTACTGACCCCAACCACACTCCTTCTTGCAAAGCTTCCCATCGACATGGACGCCCTGGCAGATCATCTCACACTGAGATGTATGTTTGCAGCTCTGTTATTGATCATTAGCACAAACAACCCCTCACCCCATCTTCCACCTTCCACCATCCACCATCCACCATATGAACAGAAAATACTCACATTAGCGCAATCAACATAAGCCTCACTGCAGCGCTTGCAGAACGTAGTAGCCATAGTATGAACGTCCTGCTCTCCTTCGTCAGCCCCGGCCCGGGGGTAGAGCAGGGAGAGGGGGTGTGGGAAGGAGGCTGTGGGTGGACTTGCGTTGTCGGATGAGAGAGCGGCGTTGACAACAGAGGCGATACCGACGGGGGCGTCGTCGCGAGGGATGACGCTGCCGAGGACAGTGGTGACGAGAACCGCGAGAGCAAGGATGAGGGTTGGGGACTTCATGTTGAGTGGGGGGTTGGGGTTGGTTTGTGGGGGTTAAATAGAGGTAGTGTTGTGTAAGTCGCTAACTCTTAGATTTGAGGAAACTAAGTAGTGGTGTAGAGGGGTTGTTGGGCGTGGAGTTATACAAGACGTCGGAAGGAGCCGAGTACGTTGGAAAAAGTCTGGGCGCGGTGGCGGCGATCTGGACCGGACACCGTTTGCAAGGTGAGTGCAGGGGTGGCAGCCTGAACATCGCGTATTCGACTTATGTGGTGAGTAAGAGTATTATATTTGCGCAAACACGTGGTGGCGTCAAGAAGGAAGTGACGACAGCTGACCCGATTGAGAAGGAGCAAACAACACGAACAGCACCATGTAACCGATATCAATCATATTTGAGTGTGGGTACTGGAAGATAACGTTCACTTGAAGACGAGACGTGGAACATGTATCTTTGAGAAACTGTAGAAAAGGCATGTTGAAGCCCCCTCTTCAAAACGATCTAACGAATTACAATACGTAAACAAGAAGATTCTACAAACACCAGCGTGCCTTGCCCTTACGCACTACAAACACCCAACGCCACCCCATGCCATGCTATGCGAAACAAGAAACACTCAACCCAGCAACACAACACCAACACGTCTGACTACCTCCTCGCCGAAGCCCTCGGCGTCGGACTCCTCTCCTTCACATCCAGCGCCCTCATACGCTCTACATTCGTGTCGACGCCCGTATCGACCACATCCTCGATCGAAGGAACAACGTCTTGAACCATCGTTCTATCACCTTCGTCGTCGTCATACCCCTCCTCTTCATCATCATCCCCATACCTCCTCTCAACATAACCCTCGCCCTCCAAATAATCACCCCCCTCCACACTTTCGACAATCGAATCTTCCAAGCCCGTTTCATCGACATCCAAGCTCTCCCTCGACATGTAGCTCGCCTCAAGATCCTCGCCAATCTCCGATCCCTCGTCTTCACTCCTTATACTAGCCGCTTCGGTCTGATCATCATCATCATCCTCATCTTCATCCTCGCTATCCGTAAAATCCTGAATATCAAGCGGTTGATCGCGCCAATAATTGAAATCGGTATACGCCTCCCCACCCGCCGGAACAAGCAGCCCCACCGGCGGAAAAAAGTGATCTACAATCTCGCGCATGCTTGCGTAACCCGTTTTATAGCTGTTGAGCGACAGGACGTCAAGACTGACTTCGGCGTTGGAGTTGATGGTGAAGATGCGGGTGGAGGGGATGTTGACACTGCGGTAGGAAAGCGCGTCTGTGAAGCGGTTACCGAAACCGGCGTAGAAAGGAGTTTGGTGCGCGGGCTTATCGAAGAGCTGCATGATGTCGCGTAGACAAGCCATTTTGAAGACTTCGGGCTTGCGGAGGTAGATTTCGCGGCGGAGGGCCGCGATGGTGCGGTCCGGGCTCATGATTACTGGGCCTTTGGGGAGGCGGTAGTTGTCTTGGACGACGCCGTTGAGGTACGCGCGGGTGGTGTCTGCTTGGCCGACGGAGCGGCTGGTTAGATAGAAGATGTTGTAGCCGTTGTTGACAATGTCGGTGTAGAGTTTGGCTACTCCTTGGTGTGTCCAGTCTCGGCCGATCATGTTGAGCACGTGGCCGAGGGCGTCGGACTTGGTGATTGTGCCGTCGATGTCGGAGATGACGATGGGTACGTCGTGCTTCCAGTAGAACATGTAGGCTTCGCATTTTGAGCGGTTCACGGTGAAGCTCATGGTGTTGGCACCGGGTTTTAGGTTGAGCGCTCGGAGTTGCTCGCTCGTGAGGCGTAGTGTCTTTGCGTATGTTTTGTGCTCGGATTTCCTGGCTTCGGGCGAGTGTGGTGCGGAGGAACCCAGCGCACTGTCTGAGTCTCTGCGTAGAGGGAATTGAGCAGTGTCGTCGCTACGTCCACTGTCGCTCTGGTAGCCGGGGTCTGACAGTGCATCAGTCGATTGGAGAGCTGACTCGTTCAAGACGTTCATCGTCGTCTTTGCCATGGCCGCTGCCTTGGCCTCCTCACTGCTGTAGATCCAGAGGTTGCCGTTCTCGTCAGCGCCTATGAGCGCGCCAATGTCGTAGTCTCCTGCGAGCTCGTCCGACAGAATGCGCCTGGCTATGACCTCAGCGCGCAAAGCATCCTCCTCGCTGCTCTTGTACCCAGTCATGTCTAGTTCGAGGTCGCCAGTCTCGGTGACTTTGTTCGGGATGTTCGAGGTAAAGAGCTTCTTGGACAGCTTGATCGCGCGGGCAAGGGCTTCGGCGGAGGACACAGGCGGCGGACTCGCTGAGCGCGTCGACCTGTTCCAGGCAGTCGCATCCTCCTTGCTGATCTGCAGCGGCCCTCTCTCGGGGCCCTTGTCCTGTGATTCCTCGCCGTCGAATGTCTTGG